TGTCATTCAAGAGTAATTTAAATATTTGACTATTATTAGCGATACGTGTTTCAATTTGTATCTAACAATACAAGGTTTGATTGAAGCATCCACCACGTACAATGCATCAATATCACTGTCGAATCAAATATATATCCATTGTCTTAGCGCGAATTGGCTATTCCCTATTGTGTACCAATTATCTCGTCCGTTCTACCTGCGTTACATGCAAATTGGATTTCGGTTACGGAAAACGGGGAGAGGAAGACGTCGCCAACCGATTCCTCATCACGAGATTTCGTTGCCGAAAGCAAATTAGACGGCCAGTGCGTTTTGAGAACTTTCCGACCGATTGAACGGACAAGGGCAATGTACAACAGTAAAAGAGCGTGAAATTAAGGCTGAAAGATGGTCCACAAAATACAAATATGTTCGTTCGTGAAACAATAATGGCGCCAAGCTGCAGCCACAATAGTAGGATATCGTCGTCGCCAGGAAGCCGACGACAATGCCGGCTCTTGATAATTGGGTTCATTTTAAACGCTATTCGATCCTCAATTCTACCCAACGAAAGGCTGAATCCGCCGGAGACGAAACGGTCCGAGAAGTTCAGCAGCAGCAGCAGCAAGACGGGACGATGGTCGGTCGTGTGGCGATGTTAATCCGATTGCGCGACTCGCTCGTGCCAGTCCCTTTGAGATGTAACGACCGGCAAACTTCTCGTCCGTTACGTCTTTGTGCAAGTTGGAATCAAGTTTCTTTGACGACCGGTTCGAGTAGTCGGCGGCGCCAAGCTTCAGAATAGTTACGTCGAGAGTTCCTTTGTTGAACAATTTAGGGAAAAGATTTATTGGCGAAAATTTTGCGAACAGTTTAAGTCGCGCGATCTTTCTGAACTTTTTCGGTTAAATTCTTAAATTTTATTGATACGCTGAATAAAGAAAAGAGAGATGGCGATCGACGGCGAAGAGCGCACGAAGTATCAAAGTTTTTTTATTTTTTTTTAATGCAAACGCGATGGTTTATTAATTACGAACGAATCTCAGTGTGCGTTCGCGTAAAGTGTGGGAAACATGAACGATCGCTCTCATATCTGGCTGGGAAAGGAAAGAGAGCATTAAAGGAAGAGATGAATTTTTTTTTTGTGGCAATTTCAGCGCGCGTCAATTAAATTACTGCGATGCGTCCGGGCCCTCGGGTTCGATCGAGCAATATAGGAAGCGCATCGCGCTTGAATGAGGATCTTTCCCACACGCGCGCGCGCGCAAAGCGTCTTTACGCATGGCGGATATGTATTTCGTACGAGATTGCATATTAACGCCTAAATTCCGCGTCTTTGCGGTACGTTACGTTACGTACATATACGTTAGCCGTGAAATCGCGGAGATATCATCGACAAGAATTCTTGGTATTTTCTTTCGTTGACCACATTCACAAAATATGCGAACGTAATAGCGATACGATCGGCCTACCGATACTTATATTAAGACTTCTCGCGGCCATCTTCGATTTTATGACGAGAAAATCGAAGAAAATTGCCGTAGTTTTTTGTGTTCTTTATTAAAAACTAAACAAATATTTCTCGTACAAACGCAAATTTCTGTACGAATCAATAAAGAACGTTTGTAAAATATTAATTAACGATAAATCTTTACTGACGCAACCACACGCGGCCTCTAGCTTGGTTTACAATTATTCTTAACTCTATCACACAGCTCTCCATCTATTCACACTCTTAATCACTCATTCCTACTCTCTCCTCTCTTTTCCTTCCTCAGTTCCCTCATCATTTTCATCCATTTCACCGTTTCTCTCTCTTGTTCCTTTTTCACTTACAATTTTCTTAACTTTTAATCTATTTCTTTTTTCCATATGTATGTGCAGCTCATTATGTGCTCTATCATCCTTTCTTTTCTCCAACAGATCTGAACGTTTGTAAAATTTATCAAATTTTTTATTCAACGCAAAACCATATCAACAAAATTGAGTCGAAAAACACAAAGCTCTCTTGCAGCGTGTCACCACGATTTCATATTTGAATCAAAAGAAAAACGTCGAGTTTTTTTTACGAGTGTGTGTTCCATCGCGATTTCACGTGCGTTTACATAAAAGTATTCTTTTTTATTTTCACAAAAAAGTGGCACTTCCTCGCTTCGAACGTCATAAAATCCAAGATGGTCGCGAGATATCGAAGAGCCTCGAAAATGAGAAGATATTGAAATCGAACAAATTTTGTGTGAATACTAGACACACACGTATTATTGCTGAAGAAGAGTTTAGCGCGCATGTCAATTTTTTCAATCAACAAAAGATCGCTGTCGATAAGTTTTTTAAACAACCACGTAAGAAATATATAAAACACGAATCGGAAGAAGATCTCACACATTTCCGTGACGCTTCGTGTTCCTCATTAGTTGGCAAACAACGTGAGTCAGAAATCATTGGCATTCACAGACTGCCCGTGTCTCGCTTTTCGGAAATACAACGTGGGAGGTCACGGAAAGTCGCGCGCGATCGTGAACGCGTCGGATGACTACCCACGGAATACAGGAACGCGACGAAACCGAAAGAGTTGCCGAATCCGTTGTAGAAAGCGAGGTTTCCGTGCCGGAACTCTAGAATTCGTCGCATTAACATGACGCGCGCGTGAGTCACGCGAGTGCGTTGTTAGTCGACGGACGTTCGACGGTTTTCTGTCGGCGATATTGAGATGACGACGCTGATAACGACAACGCATCGATGGCGACGTACGGTTGACAATATGATGACGCATAATGAAAGAGGGGAATCGGTTGTTTTCTTTTGTTGTCGTTAGCACGAAGAGAGAGACAGAGAGAGAGAGAGAGGCGCGACGAGAATTTCCATTATTTACGCGGCGCGTACAACGAGCTGACACAGAAATAGGCACCAGAAGTCGCGTACGCGTCCGCGTCGTTTAACGCAATTACCTCGCCTGCCGTGCAGGCGTGCGTGAAATTCCAATATCCAATTTCGTGTTACAATCATCCCCATTACCGAACGGTGCTTTTATGTACGCGAGCGCGAAAGGCACATTACGCGCTTAATAAGACTTTCATATATTTAACATCGTATCTTCTTTTAGTGACCAGAGAAAATTCTTTTCTTGTTTTTTTTTTTTTTTTTTCAACAGACCAGAGAAAATTTTGCAAATATATATATATATGTCAAAGTTTCCGTTACAGGCAAAAGAAGTTATTTAATTAGAAGTTAGCTATAATATATTTAAACGTTCCGAACTCAGATCCTTTTAATACTAACTGATAATTGAAATAAACCGGCAGCGTTGGATGTCCGCGCGCGCGCAAACGCATACATTTGCCGACGACTTTCCATTTAAAGTGCAAAACGTCCTTGGACGTTACGCCCGGCAGCAATTTGAAAACACTCTGTACGGCATTAAGTGACGAACCGAGAGCGAGCCGCGTACGAGAGTAATATCCTCCCGAGCGGGGAGGATAACGCAAAACCCGAGGGTGGCAAAGAGGGTGTCGCTTCGGGGGAAAGAGGATCTCCGCGCGGGCAAAAGGGTCAGCTACAGATTTTTGCGGGCAGGTCGGACCGGGCATTGGGCAGCTGGCGTGCGGTCAGCCGCTATGCCCGCAGCGTTGCGTCGGTCGTGCATCACCGGCCACCGTATTAACCCCAAGCCCCGACGTACTCGGCCAGCACCGCAGGCCGCAGAATCCACGGTCCATGGGCGCGCGGATGCCCTATGCGAGTTCTCCGCGTTCCGCCATATATACTTGATAACCATCCCGTCCAAGCACGCCCCGCGCTCTTTCTCTCTTCTTCGGATGTAGCCACTACCGCGGGCATTATATTGCCCATAACTTGGCCACAGTATCCCCTGCATTTTACACGGAAATATGTCTGTATACACGAATGTACGCAAACCGTACGAGAATTGAAAAGTAACAAGAAACATTGTCGAATGTGATGTCATTGTGTAAGAAAGTTTTGTTGTGCTAGCAAAAAAATCTTATTCACACTTCGCAGAATATAATCTCTTCTCTTCAAGCTTGAAAAGATGTATCTTTGCAAAGATTTCAAACATATAGGTAGTCGATTACGCGCCGCGCGTACAGATAGGCAGAAAACATGAAAAGATAGGCGGCATCGAAGAGGAGAAGAGCTAGAGCGCGCAGGCTCTCATATTCCGTATAATGAGAGCAGCACCAACATCAGACAAGCCGACGCTGCCGAGTAATCGAAAGCCGCGCGCCACGCTGGCCAAGCTGGCGGGGCTAATGTAGCAGCGCTTTAGATCGATAAAGTAATTTCGATTGATGATAACCGATAATTGAGAGAACGAGTGCTCGTTCAGATTTCTCGACGCGGCTACAAAAGGATTCACGCGAAAGCTCCGATATAAAAGTATACCACTACTCTCTTTCTCGAAATAACGGTTTAGTCGAAAATTGTTGTTTATATAAATTTTGTAACAAAAATTTTTTTTGTTCTTTTTCTTAAATTAAATCAAGGAATAGGACCTTAAGAGCTATACATGCAAAAAATCTTTTTAACGTAAATAAATATATGTAGAAAATTGAATAACAATTCCAAAATTTAAAGCTTTAAAGCTACTTTGCTGTATATATGAATTACTCATTTAATTTCTTGACGAAATTAAAAAAATCTATTGCGAAAAAAGACACCTCGGCTGGTCACAATCCAGGATCTTCCGCGTTTGCACATACGTACTGTCCAGTGTACAGCTTCCAAAGTTCTATTTCTTAATTTAGTTTATGCTTAACAGAGTCGTATATTTTGTTGTTAATGTTTTTTGTTTTGTAAATTGTACAATAATAATTAAAAACTTAATGTTTCCCTATATGGAGAGCGCTTTGCAATTATTCGATACCGATCAGATACTAGAAATCGCAGAAACTTTCAAAGTTATCATTCAGATTGAAAAACAAAGCAGTAGATTGTCACGCATGTAACTCTCGTATGATAAATGATCCCGACGATAAATTAATACAATAAAACATTGTACTTACATACTGCGGTGATCCACGATGTGCGTTTTCGTCCGGGATTGCGTAGCAAGCAGGCACGAGGCGTGAAACAGAAGAGACGATGGTTAACACGTATCTGCGCGTCGGTCTCGTTAGTATTAATTAAGACCTTATTTATATACACAGCGCGAGAGCGCACACAAGCACAATTTGCATATACGTCGCGTGGCCCGGCGGGCAAACAAAGTTTAGCATCGCGGCAATAGATCCATCATCGTTGTCATTACCGCGTTACGGCGTTACGGCGGACCGGCAATTGTGGCGGCGAAATTATCGCCCTTATATACCGTCGACAATTGTTGACAGGCGGCAATCACGCCCGTGGTGGTCGTGGCCGACGACGGGTCGTGTACGGGCCAACGATGGCCAACGATACGGTGTAAACTTCACTAAGGACTCACTCGAGCGATCGTACTCGAGTTTCGATGTAGCGTTTTTATCGATAACGTTTTCAAAAAATTGTACATTTGCAATATTTATATTCCTTCCCGCGTCGAAGAGATTTGCGAAACGAAATTTCGAGTATTAGCCGCCGCTAATCTCGATTGCGTGCTACATCTTGCACAAATATCTCGAATACCGTATCGTTTGAATAGGGTTTAAGGTCGATGCCGTGCGCGAGGCAAGCGACGAAACTAGAATCACAGATACGAACGATCCGCCGAGACGTTGGCGAGGAAACTCGAGGAGATTTCCAAGGCAAAGTAGCGGTCGGAAGCGTGCAACGACGCGCGCGCGCGAGGCCACGCTAGCAATCCGTCATGATCAAGCGAGAGTTGTGATTTAATTGTCACCGGTAGCTCCGTGACGAGATGGTAAGAAGGTGTGTGCAGGGTCGGCTAAGTCGCAAGGCAAGAACCGCGCTTTCGAGCGCAAGGAAGGATTACTTACCTTCGCAAAGCGCACGTGCAAGAAATCCCGAAAGTTTATTCGGTGAAAATCTCAAGTTTTCATCGAGCGTTTCGATTTTAGCATAAAAGTTGTTCAATTCAGAGATCGCCCAGAAAAGTTTCGCATTTTTCGAGAATATAAAATTTTAACGTCAGATGAGTATAACAACAAAGTGCCTACCCACAATTTTTCTTGCAAATTGTTCCCGCCAGTTTTTTCTTCCTCTCTAACAAATGTTTTCCGAATACGCAGTGATTGAGAAACAAAAAAAAAAAAATAACAAAATAATACGGCGGCCCTGTTGCAGGAAGGCGGTAATCGAGAGAGGCGGAGGAGTGGATTGCGGGGTTAAGATCGACTCGATTCCCGTCGGGTAAAACGCAATGGTGTTTCGCGAATCTCGTTCAACGAGCGGGCACGATATCCAGTCGGGCAATTATAAAACTGCTGTAGAGAGTCACCGCCACCGCGAACACATGTCGCCCTCGTACCACCCCCGGAGCTCCCTCCTGTCCACCGATGCCGACATGGGAGCGAACGCGCGACACGCACGCACGCACGCAAGCAAGCAAGCACGCACGCACGCACGCACGCACGCACGCACGCACGCGGACGCGCACGTGAATGTATTGAGTTCCACGGGTCTGCGTGTGTCGCGGCTCTGTATAATTTGACATGTTGTCGTACACGTTATTATTCAGATAGATCTTGAGATACGCGCGAGTCGAGCGGACCTCTCTTCCTCGTTCTCTTTCTCCTTCGCCCTTTCTCACCCTCTCGAGAGTGTTAACCCTGACTATCATCTTTCCTCCTTCCCCTTGTGGTCAGCCGACACTCGTGTGATCACTAACGAATTAAATATTACGTTCTGTCACGTTTTGGATCTACGTCTCTTAAAGAAGGTGTCAGACATTTCTCGCGCACGTTGATAAACTAATAAGAAAAATACAAAATATATCTGGAAGCATATCTGAAAGGCTCGCGACACGTATTCGAAAAACGCGAGGCAGCGGATTGATTAAAATAGCACTCGGTTCGTTTCAAATATATATTTGCAGAGATATAAAAAAAAAGACAAAGTTCTAATCGCGAAAGAGCGATAAATGTTAATGCAAAATTCTCTTTTGCTTTTGACGTTTTACGAGAAACGATTGATAAGTATCCGAAACTACGCATAGATAGCAACAGTACAGTATCACATTATCGTTGACGGAGATTTCATCTTTCAGAAAAACAAAATGTCAAACGCTGGCTCGTTATCGCGCAACAGTGTGTTGCGATTATCGCGCGTTCGCAACCACTAATGAGGCTTATAAGCGCGATGCAATCGGATCGTTTTCAAATGCGCATTCAAAAAAAACAAAAAAAAGCGACGCGAATTATTTCTTTCCTTTATTATCTGTCGACGATCGAAGCGCGCGTCATTAGAACGATGCTACGAACCAAACTGTGTACTAAATATTCAATCGCGCATAATAAAGCCGCGTCCGGCACCTGCGGCACTGTCTAATTATTCAAGCGTTTTTAAGTCGCGGCGATTTATATCGAGCAATTAGCTCCGCCTGTTACGCTAATTGGAATGAGACCGCGTACGCTGACCGCGCGCGTACCGTATAACTGACAAACCGTCCGTCTCTCGTTGATTATCCGCGCCGTTCGGAAAACACATTTTAGCGAAATTCTGAAAATATCTCTGTTTTCTCTCCTTTTTCGCTCGTCATTTTCCAATTATAGATACTGAATATCGCAAACAATACAATGAAAACGGACGTATCGGTAATTAACTATCTTTACGCAGTAAAAAGGTTCTCAAATTGGTCGACATTTGATTTGTTTCGGTTGTAAATTCGATTTGGTTTTCAAATTTACATGCATACGTTTCGGTATCAAGGCGAGTAGAAAAGTATGGAAAATACATTACCAAGGTAATAATTAAATCAACTTAGCACACTTAAAAATGTACATAATAAAGATATATACATATATATATACACATATTTTTTATACACGTTTAGTTAAATGCGTTAAAGAGAGAAAAGTATACGTAGCACGTTGGAAGTTTGTGCGGTCATTATGCACTTCGTTAAAAAAAATAACCACATATATCGTGCGCTACTTTATCTTTTACATTTTTATTCATTAAGACTGAAAAGATACGTCTTGCGTGATATATATTTTCGTCGTAATTGCAAGATTAAACATCCGACTTAAAAACCCGAACGAGAAAACGTGTCAGTCTCTCGTCGAGAAAACTTAAAACAAAAAAAAAGAGATATTTGTCGTGTGAAAACATAAATTGAAATATGTTAGAAACGCCGGTCGTATCGATCAATGTCTGTGTGAGAAAAGACGCGAATATGCCTCGTCATTATACGGTTACAACGTTTTTAGGCGTCTTCGAAGTTGAAGAGTAGCGAGAGATTCACATCAGTCACAGGCTCGTTGGAATATTCTTGTAATTACTGCGCATACACATTGTTATTTTTTATTTCTTATACAGACACGACGGCGGAAATTTTTAAAACTTTAAAATCCATACAGGGATTTATAAAGTTTTTCATAAAAAACTTTTTAATTGTAGACAAATCAAGTTTTCAACGTAAACAATAGTATTTATTTCCTCGAATAGATTTGACAAGCGTAGCAAATGGCGAAATACGCTCATGTTAGTCCAAATCGACGTGATTATAACATTGGATAAACGATATTAGATACGGTGTGTGTAAATATCACGCCAGATAGCGCATCTGCCGCCGCGGCCTTTTATCACTGAAACGCGCTCTGTAATTTCGAAATGTCGTCTTGTTTTGCACCATCTCGTGCTTCCGGCTTTTGAACGGATTTCTTGGAGTCTCTCACGGATATGTGTTCGATGCGGTTCGTATATCGCGCGTCCCAACAACATCGCGTCGCGTAAAGATGCAACTTAACGATGATGCTTTGTCGATTGGACAGACAAACCGCGCTTTGGATCGCCTCGTCATTAAATTTCGATTAGCATCAACCGCGAAGTACGCGAGGAAAGCACCTGCGTAAAACTATCGGCGGCGATCGTTTTCCTTTCTCGCGAGGTCTACGCGCGTACAGCAATGCGAGAAGGGTGTGCTAGTAGCACACACCGGAGAGATCTCTCGCGGTAGATATGGCGCCGGCCCTAAACATCCGCCATTATATTAAATTGTGTATATTTCCCTTCATAATTGCTCGAATTATACGCATTATGTAAATCGGTATGTTAATGCCCTCTTCGCTCTGCCCTGCGCCACCCCCCTTTCCGTACTCCCTTTCGCTCGCGATTCCTTTCCCTCCTGCGAGAGCGCGGCGCTTTTGCCCGCCTCGGCCGGGGATTACAGCAATTTCGTTTAAGCGCGTTCGCTCGCGCGCGCGCGAGCGAGCGAGCGCTAAATGTTCTTGTGCTTCTTTTATATCCATCCGGTATCTCTTGCTGGGCAGGTAAAAAAAGAAAAAAGAGAGAGAGAGAGAGACAGAAAGAGAGGGAGGTGAACTCTAGATTGCGCGCTTTTTAACGCACGTCTCTATTTACATAATATTTCGTCAGATTTGTATCGTTTCTGAAGCACGCCCGAGATCGTGGCATCGTGATCGCGTTTTATAGCGTCCGGCGCCAAAATCGAAGCAATCAGCTTTGTTGATCATTCACAAGACCAGGAACGATGATACTTAAATTGATCGACGCATCAAGCGCCTCGTTTCGAAAACAATCTTTATGACTTGTCAAATTCACGAGGTACGTGATCGGAGTAATGATGTGCTTACTACCAAAAGACACACAAATTTTATCGTTCTGTTTCGGTGTGAGAAGAAATGTGTTCATTAATTTTCAATACATAATTTTTTCTCCGATCTCCCTGAAATGAAGCCTTTTTCGTTTCGCAACACGTGGGTAATTGAAATTGGTGTGTTTTGACACAACATCAGGAGGAAAAAAATATTGTACATATTAAAATATTCCGTCAAAGTTAGTCGAGAAAATATTACGTTCATTCTCGATATTTTTTAATCGATATAAGTTGGTGTAATATCGCAGCCTTAATGTATCGTATAATTGCAAGAACGTTTAACTGTCAAAAATG